GCAGGAACACCCCTGTAGAAACACGAAAAGCTAGAGTTTGAAAACCTTGACAACAAAGCTGTACCATCCCCAGTGCGCTGCGCATCCCTCCGATCCCAGTTTTCCCTCTTCCCCCCGGCTATTCTGTCAGGATTTTAAAGCAGAGTTGCCAGATAGGACAAGGGGAAATGGGTTTAAGTTGAGGGAGAATAGATTTAGATTAGATCTTAGGAAGAAATTCTTCAGTACAAGGGTGGCAAGATTTTAGAATAAATTGCCCAGAGATGTTGTGGCTGGCCCCTCCCTGGAGGTGGTCAAGGCCCAGATGGATGGAGCCTTCTAGTTGAGAGGCAGCCCTGCCCATGACAGGGAGGTTGGACTGGATGATCTCTAAGGTCCCTTCCAGCCTAGGCCATTCTATGATTCTATGATTCCCGGCTTGCTAAGGTAACTTTGGTTAGCTTCAAAGGGCAAATGGGAAATTTTACAGGTTCACCCCCCTCCAACTCTTCTTGTCAGTTTGTGTATATTTATACCTTCCTATTCTTAAAAAAGCCACACAGAACAAACACAAATGGATTATTTTGGCGGAAGGAAGAAGAGTGAGTGAATATAGAATTCTGCGTGATGCAGAATTTGGAACTAAAATAGCAATTTAAGAAAGCACGTGTAGTTTTTGGTGTTTTAACAATAGCTTGAGGAAGTGAGTTTGCTTCCTTATTCTTCAGTAGTAAACGCAAAAACGTTTGCAAAAACGTTTCTAGGAAAGGAAAAATAGCAAGAGACTCATTTTTGCCGTGACGCCTTTTCAAATTTATTTTCTTTTGTACATGTAATTGATCAATGTTTAAAAAAAATCCGAGTCTGTTTCCAGCGTTGTACTCAAGGATTATAAAAATTAAATCTGTGTAAATGAAGGTTTTCAGGTACCTGATACCTGCTGATTTTGACTGAGTAATTTGTGATTGATTACATGTATAAAAGGGTTGAAAAATTTTTAGAATACTTACATGCTTCAGGAACACCTCTTGTCAGTTATTTAAAACATTTTTTACATTTAACTGTGACACTTTTTTTGTATTGCAGAACATTCACTGGAATCATCAAAGAATAAGGTAAAAGAATACTAGGCATTAAACTAATAAAACCTTCTCTCAGTGACAAATCCTGGAAAAGAACATGTGCATTTACCTTTTGAGGGTAGAGGAATAAAAGGTAGAGAGGAGAGAAGAGCATTTTGGGTTCTATATGTTTGGGTTAGGCAAGATTTCTCAAAATCAACACCCAGTCCCCTCAAATGGTTGTTTCTCTCTCTCTGAAAGATTACCTGCTCTTTAGCACCAAGTTGGACAAGTTGTTGTACAGAACTTCTGGTCCTGGCCAGGGTCAGTTCACCTGTTGCAACAGTCTCTTTTGCTGTTTTTGTAGAAAAGTTATCCATAAGTTATATGGATAAAGCAATTAAATGCAGTGTATGCAATAGTGTCTGGAATCCTTGAAAAAAAAAAAAGTAGCACAAGTTTGCAGGTAGACATTTAACTGACAAGCTCATTCCAGTTGTTCTGTAGTAGTTAGACATAAGGTGACATTTTAAACCTGCAAATTTCTGTATCTTTGACAGAACTTCTCCTTTTTAGACAGTGAGGTGACTGCTTCTCCCTTTTTCTAGCTGATCACTGCAACGTGATGTGGAGACAAAATTAATAACTGCCACAAGCATCTTTGTTGCAGTAGAGCGCGGTATGGGTGGGTCATTTAGCATCTCTTAATTAAATGATTATATGAGATATATTAATGTCTAGTTTTAAAAGAGTTAACTTTTGCATTACTGAAATGAAGCTGCTTTCATGTTAACAGGCATTGTGTTAAAGAATGCATTGTGATCATAAATAGTTTACAGGACAAAAATTGTTGTGATTTTAGGTGCACAGCGTACAGTTCTAATTTCTAGTATTTCCCCTTTACTTTAGAAGGGTGGGAAATAGCAGTGTCTTACATTAAATTCTTTTCTCTCACCCCAGCATTGAAACCTCAACTTCCTTAGTTTACTGTCTCCTAATTCTGAAGCATTATTTCCATATTGAAGTTTTCTGAATTTTACTCAAATAGCTGCGTTTGTTTCAATTGGTTTAGGAAGAACACGCTTCAATTTAGCATTTGAAAGCAAACAAAACCCTAGACTAAGCAACTCTAGAGCTTTGTATTAATTCTTTGTAAGACTCCTGTGTAAACACTGTTTACAGCCTGACAAAGTTACAAACTATGCTTTCACATAAATACTGCAGATCTTTAATTTGTGATTTTAGCCCATTGTAATTATTTACAATAAATTGACTGTTCTCCTTTTATAATAAAGAATAAATACATGGCAGGTACAGAGAAGCCGAGAAATAAGAATAAGGTAGATGATACATTTTTGTATTCTTCATAAAGCCTTTTACTGTGTTAACTTCCTAGGTTTTAAGGAATGCTGTACATGTTGAGGAAGCTGAAGTGGAGAAGTGTGTCAGAGATGTAATGAAAGAAAAGAAGATTGAACAGCAGGATACAGGGTACGTTTGGAACCTGAACATAAGTTCCTTGGGGCAGATAATTCTGACCTCTCGGAGCGTTCTCACAATTGCTCAGTCTGATTTGTACCAGATGTTTAGGCCTTTCAGTACAAAACTTTAGAATGACTTTAGAAAATAAGGTATAGTTATGTCCTCTTCAGTTCTAGAAAATAAACTGCCAAATTTTAATGGAGATAGATTTGAGATAACTGCATCTCTGCCTTGCAAGTCCTTTCTGTTACTCCTTATTTCTAAGTAACATGATTATTGCATACGTTGAACGTTACATGAACCACGTAATTTCTTAGATGTATTTGAAA